GAAAACTGGTTTGAGCTGGCAACGATAGTCTCACTTGTTTTGAGACTATGCAACTTTCACATAGCAGTCCGTTGTCTAGGTACCACATGTTGGTCTCCATTCGCTCTTCTCGTTATGTAAGAAGGTTTGCCATAACATTCTCTGCGTTGAGCATCAATTGGTTGGGCATCTTCTCGACCAACATCAGTGTAGGCTCTTGATCATGCGTGAGTGATGTTTTCCTCCTCATCGCACTTCTTCTTGTGGCACTCTACCACATATTGCTCATAATTTTTTAAAAAATAACACTTGATCATACTCTTGTCCTTCCAAAGGTTTACATTTTCATGGATTTGTGATGTATTTTCAAGACCTTCTCTGCCACTATGTTTGCAGCCGCACCGACGACCGACGAGCTCACTTTCGTCGTTGAACTACTCAATATTGGTAACAATCTGCATGAATCTTGGGCGGGGGAGAAGGGAGGGGGGGGGGACTTCTCAACGATGAAGATTTCCTCCACCTTGTCGCCTAACAAATGGATGTCCTTGACGAACGTCGTTAACTTTATGGTAAATTCATCTATTAACCCACCGTTTTCATACGGATAGCTTTGAACTCACTCTTCAAAGTCTACACATTTGCTTTCTTGATACATTCCACACCTACATGCATTGTTTGCATCGTCTCGCACGTTCCACACATACATTCATGTTTTTAATAGTCAAATTAGTCAACTTCATCTCACATCATTCACATAATTAGTCAAGTCCATCTCAAATTGTCCTCATAATTCATTCCTATACCATGCTTCATCATATCCTACAAGAAATTCTTCAGAACTATTTTTCTCAGTGTTGATTGCCAAAGATTTGAGGCCTTGGTGCTGAGTGTCACCACCATACTAAGAAAATAGTAAGTTTGTAACCCCATGTATAGACAAACAAGGTAGCAACACACAAACATTGTAAGATAAGTGTCTTTGATGTCTTCCTTTGACAATAAGTTTTCAATGACAGTGTCAGACGACACTGATGTGCCAACATTGCACCCTTACCCTTACATAGGAGGTTGGTATATGGAACTGTTCATTAGCACAACATCCGTAAATGACTCGGCCTAGAAATAGGAGAGTTCCTACCTTAATAATACCTCGATGGATGGATTTCGAGATGTCTTGATATGAACCAAGAGACATCATTCATACAATATACTTCAATGAAGATGTGAAGAAAATGTTGTCAAAATTATCAAAAGAGGTTGCAATTCATGTCACATTGAAGAGGAATGAAGTTTGATGGTTATAAATTTTGGGTGAGTTACAATTTAGAGTAATTTAGAGTTATTGTATTTTAAGACATTTTATTTACTTTATAGGTTACATTTACATAATGGCTAATTATGGTATGAATGTTACAACTTTTGGAATGCTTTCATTTTGAGGCTATATAAAGCCATGTATGTTGTATTTGTAAGGAAGACTTGGAAAATATAGTAAAGGAGCATTTGTGCTTTTCTTTAGCCGATGACTAAGTTTCTTTGCAATTCTATGTAGTTTAGATTGCATGTAGAATCATTCAAGCTCGACATGATCAATCTTGCTTGTGGAGTGATTCGAATCTCAAACAAGTGTTTGAGATATTTGATCAACAAGAATCATTCAAGCTAGACATGATCGATCTTGCTTGTGGAGTGATTCGAATTTCAACCAAAGTGTTCTTGGCTTGAGATATTCGATCAACAAGGTAATCCGAATCTTATTCCCCTTGTAGTGGATTCCTTATCTTATCATTTGGTATCAGAGCTTTAGGCTCAAGATCGGATATATGTTTCCTTTGCGTTTCTTCTCAATTTGATTTTTATTTATTTTCATCTTTTTAGTTTTTAATCGACCCAGAGTTCAAAATTCAATCTTTGCTCTATTTAAAATTTTGAGAGGTGAGAATGAGAGCTTCATTTGTGTAAATGAGTGCAAACAGAGTGGCCTAAAATTCCTTGAGTGTGTACACGTGAAAGAGTGTTGTGAGGTCCTTTGTATTTCCATAACTTATTTTTTGCAGCAAAGTTTCACAAATAGATTCGAGGACGAATCCTCTTGAAGAAGTGGGGAATGATATGAACCAAGAGACATCAATCATACAATATGCTTCAATGAAGATGTGAAGAAAAGGTTGTCAAAATTATCAAAAGATGTTTCAATTCATGCTACATTGAAGAAGAATAAAGTTTGATTGTTGTAAATTTTGGGTGGGTTATAATTTAGAGTTATTGTATTTTAAGACTTTTTATTTAATTTCGGTTACATTTACATAATGGCTAATTATGGCCATAAAGTGTGAATGTTACAACTTTTGGAATGCCTTTAATAGTTTCATTTTGAAGCTATATAAAGTCATGTTTGTTGTATTTGTAAGGTAGACTTGGAAAATATATCAAAAGAAGCATTTGTGCTTTTCTTTAGCCAATGGCTAAGTTTCTTTGCAATTCTATGTAGTTTAGATTGCATGTAGAATCATTCAAGCTCGACATGATCAATCTTGCTTGTGGAGTGATTCGAATCTCAAACAAGTGTTTGAGATATTTGATCAACAAGAATCATTGAAGCTAGACATGATCGATCTTGCTTCTGGAGTGATTCGAATCTCAAACAAAGTGTTCTTGGCTTGAGATATTCGATCAACAAGGTAATCCGAATCTTATTCCCCTTGTATTGATTCCTTATCTTATCATTTGGTATCAGAGCTTCAGGCTCAAGATCGGATATATGTTTCCTTTGCGTTTCTTTTCAATTTGTTTTTTTCTTTTTAGTTTTTAATCGACCCAAAGTTCAAAATTCAATCTTTGCTATATTTACAATTTTGAGAGGTGAGAATGAGAGCTTCATTTGTGTAAACAGAGTGGCCTAAAAAAAAATCCTTGAGTGTTGTATACACATGAGAGATTGTTGGGAGGGCCTTTGTATTTTCATATCTTATGTTTTGCAGCAAAGTTTCACAAATAGATTCGAAGACGAATCCTCTTGAAGAAGTGGAGAATGATATGAACCAAGAGACATCATTCATACAATATACTTCAATGAAGATGTGAAGAAAATGTTGTCAAAATTATCAAAAGAGGTTGCAATTCATGTCACATTGAAGAGGAATGAAGTTTGATGGTTATAAATTTTGGGTGAGTTACAATTTAGAGTAATTTAGAGTTATTGTATTTTAAGACATTTTATTTACTTTATAGGTTACATTTACATAATGGCTAATTATGGTCATTAAGTATGAATGTTACAACTTTTGGAATGCTTTCATTTTGAGGCTATATAAAGCCATGTATGTTGTATTTATAAGGAAGACTTGGAAAATATAGTAAAGAAGCATTTGTGCTTTTCTTTAGCCGATGGCTAAGTTTCTTTGCAATTCTATGTAGTTTAGATTGCATGTAGAATCATTCAAGCTCGACATGATCAATCTTGCTTGTGGAGTGATTCGAATCTCAAACAAGTGTTTGAGATATTTGATCAACAAGAATCATTCAAGCTAGACATGATCGATCTTGCTTGTGGAGTGATTCGAATCTCAAACAAGTGTTTGAGATATTTGATCAACAAGAGTCATTCAAGCTAGACATGATCGATCTTGCTTGTGGAGTGATTCGAATCTCAAACAAGTGTTTGAGATATTTGATCAACAAGAGTCATTCAAGCTAGACATGATCGATCTTGCTTGTGGAGTGATTCGAATCTCAAACAAGTGTTTGAGATATTTGATCAACAAGAGTCATTCAAGCTAGACATGATCGATCTTGCTTGTGGAGTGATTCGAATCTCAAACAAGTGTTTGAGATATTTGATCAACAAGAGTCATTCAAGCTAGACATGATCGATCTTGCTTGTGGAGTGATTCGAATCTCAAACAAGTGTTTGAGATATTTGATCAACAAGAGTCATTCAAGCTAGACATGATCGATCTTGCTTGTGGAGTGATTCGAATCTCAAACAAGTGTTTGAGATATTTGATCAACAAGAGTCATTCAAGCTAGACATGATCAATCTTGCTTGTGGAGTGATTCGAATCTCAAACAAGTGTTTGAGATATTTGATCAACAAGAATCATTCAAGCTAGACATGATCGATCTTGCTTGTGGAGTGATTCGAATTTCAACCAAAGTGTTCTTGGCTTGAGATATTCGATCAACAAGGTAATCCGAATCTTATTCCCCTTGTAGTTGATTCCTTATCTTATCATGTCTCAATAATATAATTGACTCGACTAATGATATCACGAAACTTAGAATGACATCACAAAGTGTAGGCTATGTTATTGAGAATCAAGATGATGAGATGAGATGCAACATTGTATTTGAAAGACTTTGGCATGGTAAAGCCAAAAGACTTGGCCTAGAATAGAGACAAGTTGACTAGAATCGTAAGTCAGTGAACGAGCAAGCATGAGCAACATTAATTTCCACGAATTGTGTTGGGTTAATGACAAAAAGCGACGTTAATTTGAGACATAAGTAAGTTTATTAGAGCTACCCATTCTTCAATTTTAAAAAAGAAATAAAGAAGAAGGCATCCACGTCAGTGAAAGCCGACGCCACATGAAAACTGCCACTTGTGTATAACCCTAGTTGGGTTAAGTTAACCATAGTAGGCGGTTAACTTCCTCTTCCAAACCAAACCAAAAATAAAAAAACACGTCACTACTCTCTTCTATATATACTACTCCACTCTCTCTCCCTCCTCTCCGCTCTTCTCTTGCATCCTCTAAATTATTATTATTTTTTTTTTTAAATGTCTTTTTAATTTTATTTTTTCCTTATTTTTGTACGTCTTGTCGTCCCTTCCCTTTCTCATAGTTCCCATCAGGAAGCTTTAGCAGTCGATCGCTGCAGAACGACATATATTCCCCCTCTTTGTTTAAGTTCGTTAACTAACTGAATTTCCCCATTTTTTTTTCTCTCTACTTTCCACTTTTACCCCTCCTCTCTCATCTAATTTATCGTCCACTGCCACTGTCACTACCGCCATGATTTCATGGAAGGATCTTTACACCGTCTTGACGGCGGTTATTCCTCTTTATGTCGCTATGATTTTGGCTTACGGTTCTGTTCGGTGGTGGAAGATTTTCACGCCCGATCAATGCTCTGGAATCAACCGTTTCGTTGCCATTTTCGCTGTTCCTCTTCTCTCCTTCCATTTCATTTCTTCCAATGATCCTTACGCTATGAACTTCCGGTTCATCGCTGCAGATACACTTCAGAAGATCATCATGCTGTTCTTTCTTGGGATTTGGACTAATCTCACTAAGAATGGGAGTCTAGAATGGATGATTACTATTTTCTCCCTATCCACGCTTCCGAACACGCTAGTCATGGGGATTCCTTTACTGATTGCTATGTACGGTGATTACAGTGGGAGTCTGATGGTGCAGGTGGTGGTGTTGCAGTGCATTATTTGGTATACGCTTTTGCTTTTTCTGTTCGAGTATCGTGGTGCGAAGATTCTCATCATGGAGCAGTTTCCCGAGACGGCTGCTTCGATTGTGTCGTTTAAAGTTGATTCGGACGTGGTTTCGCTGGATGGCAGGGATTTTCTCGAGACTGATGCTGAAATTGGGGACGACGGAAAGCTTCACGTGACGGTAAGGAAATCTAATGCTTCTCGACGATCTCTCGGTCCTTGTTCGCTTCCGGGATTAACGCCTAGGCCTTCTAATCTCACTGGTGCTGAGATTTACAGCTTGAGTTCCTCTCGAAACCCTACTCCTCGAGGCTCGAATTTCAACCACTCAGATTTCTACTCTATGATGGGATTTCAAGGCCGATTGTCTAATTTCGGACCTGGAGATTTGTATTCGGTTCAATCCTCCAGAGGTCCGACTCCCAGGCCGTCCAATTTCGAGGAGAACTCTGCCGTTCAGCCTCAGACCGCATCCCCGAGGTTCGGGTTTTACCCCGCTCAAACTGTGCCCTCCTCTTATCCGGCTCCCAACCCGGAATTCACCAAAACTGCTAAAATCCCTCAGCCACCGCCTCCTCCTCCGCCGCCGCAACCGCAGAATCCAAAAGCGAACCATGACGCCAAGGAGCTTCACATGTTTGTTTGGAGCTCGAGCGCTTCTCCAGTCTCTGAAGGCCGCGGTGGGCTCAACAATCTCGCCGGGAATGAGCTCGCTGGAGCCGAGCAATCTGGACGGTCCGATCAAGGCGCCAAGGAAATACGGATGCTCGTGGCCGATCATCAACAACAAAACGGGGAAAACAAAGGTAATATTAACAAATAATCACTAATAATTTATATTTTATTCTCAATCTCAATAACTCAATTCCATTTTCTTTAGCTGTTCCAGAGAGTGAGGGCTATGGGGGTGAAGCCTTTAGTTTCAGCGGCAAAGAAGGGGAAGAGGAAAGAGATGATCAGAAAGAGGGACCCACAGGCTCCACCGGCGAACTCCACGGGAAAGTTTCGGCCGGAGCTCCGGACGGCGGGAACTCCAAACTAATGCCGCCGGCGAGCGTAATGACCCGTCTGATTCTGATCATGGTGTGGCGGAAGCTGATCAGAAACCCCAACACATATTCAAGCCTCATCGGACTAATCTGGTCGCTCATTTCTTTCCGGTAAGCCAAAAATCAAGTCCACAAATCACAACGCTACTACAATTACAGTTGATTGATTGAAACTTCCATTTCAACTAACTGTGTTCCCTCTTATTTGGGCTGTGTCTATGAAATTGCCTCTGTATTTATTGTCTGTGTTGTTGGGTTGTGATGAAATTTTGCAGGTGGCATGTGGCCATGCCCAAAATAATAGAGAAATCAATCTCCATACTCTCTGATGCAGGACTTGGAATGGCTATGTTTAGCTTAGGTGAGTGGTCCTTATCTTTTATTTATTCTCTTGATCTAAATAATTAAGCCCAATTCTCAAGACCCATGAAGAAACTAAAAAAAGAAATCTACTCATTCTTGTTCTTGTTCTTTTAGTCTGTGTCCGAAACATATTATCATGTTGTCACGTAAGTATCTCAATAATGGAAGGGAACGTAATCCAATCATTACAAGGGAAAAACAAATAATTAAAGAGTTGTTTTGTTTGGTAATCAGAGAATTAAGAAAAAGTCATTGCCCACCTTTATCCAAATAACAAATGCATTGAGAGGTTTATTCTTTGGTAGTGTTGTGAGTATCTTAGGAGATTAGGTTGATTATGTGGTAGAGAGGCTGGCAAAGAATGGGGGCATTGTTTCTGTGCATTATTTTTCTCACATTAGGTGTCTGAAAAGGGGTGAGAAGGCTTTTAATCTTGAGCCTTTACCACCCGACATGTGGGTCCAAGTGGGTAACATCAACTGGGTGGTCCAAAGATAGGTGGGTCGGAGTTTAATGCCCTCTATTACACTCCAAATTAGTGAAAGTAGTTGAACCGTAAATTCATGTATTTTTCTTTTGATGGGAAGGGCTTGAGAATTGACTGGTGTTTGTTTACCGCTGAAAAAAAGGTATATTTATGGGACTACAACCAAAGATGATAGCATGTGGGAACTCTGTTGCTGCTTTTGCGATGGCCATTAGATTCCTTACTGGGCCAGCCGTTATGGCCATTGCTTCCATCGCTATTGGCTTGCGTGGAACCCTCCTCCGTGTTGCTATTGTGCAGGTACTTCTTTTCATCCTCGATGCCTTCAACAAGTTTTCTCATATGAAATCAATATTGAAAAGCTTGTGTCTGCTATTGTAGGCGGCACTGCCCCAAGGAATTGTACCCTTCGTGTTTGCTAAAGAGTACAACGTTCATCCAGCAATTCTGAGCACTGGGTAAGCCAAACCCACCTCTCAAAATGTGCCATTTTTTCTCCCTTTTTTTGTTTTGCAGCTTTGCATGATTAGACTTTGGCTCATTGGTGGCATTGCAGGGTGATCTTTGGCATGCTCATAGCTCTGCCCATTACTTTACTCTACTATGTTCTTCTGGGTCTGTAAATTTTTCAAGTTCAAATGGATTTCCTTCATATCATATTTCTTAATGATTTTGAGACGAAGACGACGAAGATCATAGGGTTATTATATAGAAGAAGTTTGACAAAAGTTGAGAGAGAGAGAAGCCTCAAATGTTTGAAAAAGGCCGAAGTAAAGGCGTTGATCGTGCAGTTGGTTGCCATTTTGGGTGTAAATTTGAGACTCGAGTGGGAGGCCAATAGCCAATAGCCAATAGCCAATAGGGGGATTTGAAGAGGTTTGTTAATTAGATATTAGCAATTATTTTGCGTTTGTCGTCTTCTCTCTTTTTCGGGTATGTAGCTTTATAATCTTTTATATTTTAGGGCTGCTGATTATGTTTCCATTTTGTCACCTTCCCCTTTGTTCATACAAACATTTTTAAGAATGTATTAATGTTTCAGACCACTTCATCATAATCATAACTCTCTACTTTTATGTATATTTATACTTATATATTCATCAAGTCTTAATAATATATTGATATTAATAATTAATTATAAATATTAGTTATTTATAAATTGTTATATTTTTACTATTTCATAGGTAAAAATTTCATAAAAATCGATGTTGGATAATTTTTTTTTAATTACCTCGATTGGTAACGTACTTCAAAAAATCGAAACAAAGGTAATAAATATATATCTAACAATTCAAAAGCTTATTCTTTAGATTGGATCATATCATAACGATCAAATTAAACTTTTTGAAACTATGTCCCGCCTCTCAATTCTTCTAAGCGAAAAAAAGAGAGGATCATCCTTATTTCATTAATTGGGTGGAAATGTGCATATAGAATGGGCCAAGGTTGGTTAAGTAACCAAATTAATCATATTATGTTAATTATTAGCTTACATTGCACATCGTTCTAATGTGATAAAAAAATTAAAAAAAAATCAAATAAAAGACCAGCCATTGGTTACCAATCAATTTCGATATGGTGGTGTATAGGAGGGGCGTATATGCTATGTCGTCTTTATTTTCTCAATTTATTCATTTAATATTTTTCTAATTAAATTAGATTGTCTTTGGGGAGCGTGACATCAAAGTAACCAGGACTCGTACGCGTACATAATTACAAAGACAAATAAACAACTAGATAGAATGAAAGATATACAATGAAAGCAAGGTAAAACGGTTTAGAATGGACATGCGACGCACAAGCAACATGCCATGGATAAGCATAATCGTGACATCCTTCCTCACTTAATTCGTTGACGTCGCTATCAATCTACTCTTCTTGAACTTATAATGTATTATGCTACTAACTTCTTGTCTTTCGTCATGTTTCCAATTGATCTCAACATTAGGGAGTTCCTTCCTCTTTATAAAGAGTTCTTATACATCTCCTCTCGATTTGCTGACTCATCGTATCTTCTTAGTTAGGATCTCTTCCACTTCTTTCTCGGCGATATTCTTCATCGTGGTAGGAGATCATGTCACCTTTTTGTGTCTAGTGTCTTCTTTGTCTAGGTGGTTAGGGTTTCAAGTTACTTAAATGGACAACGAGGTGAGTCTTCATCTATAAAGGTAATTGAACCTTGTATGATGCCTTTATTTACCTTTTGAATGACTTCAATTGGTCCTTCATATTTCATCACCGACCATTGATCCCTATTGCTTCATAATAGAAATTGTTCTAGTCTCAACTTGATCAAAGCATTATCTCCGACTTAAAAATTTAGTGGTTTGTGTTTCTTCATGTGTCTCGATGTTTTCTCCAAGTAAGCACAAGCTTGGTTGATTTCTTCACGTGTCTAAGAAAATAAATGCAACTACCCTATGCATGTGCCATGGTCTCGAATTGTGATGTCACCGTCAGCCGTACAAAGATGCCTTGCCTTTACTTAAAAGATAAGTAGCACGTGATTTGAGTATTTTAAGAAATAATCAGTAAATGACCCCACGGGTTAGAGAATGCAAACACATGTCACTCATGATCTAGGGGACCTATAGTTAAAATCATCATAGGGGTGGTCTCTTGTCTGGACAAAATTGAATGTGTAGTACTTCCTTACACATGACCCACATGTGTGAGTGTGGATCCTCAGGCGATTGCCACTCCCTTGGACCCATCATAGTCGAGTTAGCTGTCCATAGCAACGTCCGGAGGTCAGCAAATCTCGAGTGTCATGCAAGGCATGATGATCATCATCATAGTTTACGCTTTTGTACTCATCATCTTAAATGAGAAAGTATCCTGATGTATATGAATACACAAAATGCATGAGGTCCCTGTAGTTTTTATCTTTAAATCATTTTAAATCATCTTTATGACACAACCCTATACATCGTTTACACATTACTCTAAGTAACATGCATGCATTGGCTTTCATACATTCATCATCATTAACATTAACTAGAGTTGTGTCTTTGAAAACTCGTTGTCATAGTGCATCGTGACATTTAATACATGCACATCATCTTAATATGGAACATCATCATATTAAGTCATTTCATCATCATATTAAGTCATTTCATCATCATATTAAGTCATTTCATCATCACACGTCTCACATTATCTTGTTATCATGCATCATCAACATCATGTACATCATCACATCATCATATAATATTATCACAACATCATTGAACATCATCACATCATCATATAACGTCATCACATCATCATATAACGTCATCACATTATCATATAACATAAAGCATAAATGTCGGCCACTGGACACGTATCGTCATACATAAGATAAGTCTTTCAATCGAGCTAATAGTAAGCCACTTACTTGGGTGACCTTAGCCGAGGTTCTATCTAGCTCCAAATTCGCTTGCATTTGTCCTTCAAATTCGTTCTCACTTATGTCGAGCCTTCATCTATTTTGAATATAAACTTAATTGCCTCATTAAAAATCAGATTTCATGTTTTCATTGTTTCTAAAATGTCATACTACTTGGATCATACAATTCAACTATTATTTGTTATAATATTATATTCACTAGGCACCAACATTTTAATACTTTTTCACAGTCCATTTCCTTTCTCTCTCTTATAGTGCTTTGTAACTGATCACGGATGCTTTTGTTTTTTTTTTTAAATGGCTATGGAACCTAAATGGTTTCTTAAAACTCATACAAAATCTTGGTCAATTAATTTCTAATTAATGCTAAATAATTACAATAAAATTAATATCTTTTGAATAGAAAAAATGTAAAATATGACTTATTTTCACGGCTCTCCTTAAGGAATCCTTCCTTGAATTTCTTGAATTTTTACAGGGCTTCTAAATAATTACAGTAAAATAGAATCTGTAAAGGAGTTTTGAGTCACAAGTTTTGCCAGAAGTTTTGCATGATGAGGATTGGTCATGGGAGAAAGATTTGGGGAGATGGGCTGTGAGGGGTTATGGGAGAGAAGGATGGGGGAGGGTTTAGTTTATTTTATTCGGTAAAATAAGGTTTTACTTCGTCTGTTACACTCTGTGTCCATTAATTCCTTCTGTCTACAAAAACTTTATTAATATGAATCAAGACATCAATCATATAATATAATAAAACTTTAAGGTTAATGTTGTCATTCATGCCACATAAGAAGAATCAAGCTTCATTTATTCTTTATATGGTTACAAATTTTAATATATTTTAAGACTTATTTACATAGTGGTTAAGTATAGCCATGAAGTATACATAGTGGCTAATTAAGAGGAAGATTATAGATATGTAAGGGAGTGTACTATCTCTGTTGGTACATTTGAGACTAATTAAGATATGAAACCGAATTTGTTAATTAGCTCCCTTCACGTTTTTTCAAATCTAGAAATTTGGGCGTCATCCGAGCGTTTATCAACTTAAGTATAACTTCAACTCAAACCGATTAAATATATTTTTTAATTTCTAAATTGTTTGGGAAAGTAGAAATTGAATAAAAAGGGAGGTATCTTGGGAATTAAAGAGCAAGTAGTTGGGAAAGAGAACCATTTATCTGTTTGGAATAAATAGAATTGAAAGAGAAAGTGGTGAATAATGGAGGATATGCAATAAATTAGGAAAACCGACATGCCTTCAAATGGGAGAGCGACGTATCGGTTTCAATAACGACAGAGTTCCCACCTTTAATTCAAGTTTTGTTCGACTTGTCCTGTTATTGTGGTAAGGACCAATTTTCTTTCCATTCCCCACTTTTTTATTATTATTATTATTATTTTTGGACAAAATCCATTTCCCCCATTAATGCAATTTTTAATCCCTTTATATATATATATATATATATATACACACACACATTTCACTTTCATTTTCAATCTTTAAATCCCTTCGTTTTCTTCAATTTCTTTTAATTAATTATGTGATTGTAAAAATTCATGATATATATATATATATATATAAATACATTTGTAGTACTAAAAAATTGGTATTTATTGGCAAAATAATGATGTAATATAAAAATAAGCATAGGATACAAGATGGTTGATTAAGATCTCTATGTGCCAAGTAGAGTTGAGTTAGATGACTCTAAAATAGAAAAGTTATGACGGTTGGATGAAAGTTCCACATTCGCTAATTTAGGAAATGATCATAGATTTATAATGAAGGAATACTATCTGTATTGGTATGAGGCCTTTTGGAAAGCCCAAAGGAAAGCCACGAGAACTTATACTCAAAGTGGACGATATCATACTATTGTGGAGAGTTGTGTTCATCTAACATGGTATCAAAGTCATGCCTTAAACTTAATATTGTGAGCCTCGAACGCATAGTAAACAATGACTAAGACTCCAAAAAGAAAAGGAGTAGAGCCTCGATTAAGGGGAGGCAATCCTCAAATGTCAAACAAAGTATTGTGAGTCTCGAAGTCATAGTAAAAAATGACTAAGACTCCAAAAGAAAAGGAGTCGAGCCTCGATTAAGGGGAGGACATACTTTGTTCGAGGGTTTATGCTCAAAGTAGACAATATCATATCATTGTGGAGAGTTGTGTTCATCTAATGATGTGTATGTTGCATATTTACGAGAGAGTTCATACGAAGTATTTACAATTCCAACCACATATTTTGTCAAATTCTGAAATGATTAAGGATAAGAGAAAATTTGAAAATAATTTGTTACAGCTAGCTAGGTATCATGTGTCTCTCTAGTTCCTCTAAAAGCTCAAGAACATTATCTGAAACCATGGAAAGCTCCAAGGTTCTTTGTTTTGGAGTTTTCCCTAAGCATACTCTCAAGTATAAGTATGGGTCCATTTTTTTGTTTCCCCTCATGGCGTTTTGTTATCATTGAATTTGCCATAATGAACAATTCAGAAAATGAAGCTTGTAATTGTTGTCAAGGATATATGTCTATAAAAAGAATGAATATTTGAAATTTTGATTTATCCAAATAGATTTATCCTTGCACCACCACCCCTACCACTAAAGGTGTCCACCAATATTATAAAATATTAATAAATAACGTTTCGAATTGAGTTAGA